CGTCGACTGCACGGAGGAGGAGAGGGCCATGCTGCCCACGACCATCGGATCACAGTTCGAGGCGGAGCGTGCTCTGGCCGACCTGAGGACCGTGTGTCGCGTTGTCGGTGACCCGCGTGATTCCGAAGAGTACACGTACTGGGAGACATCCTCGCATGACACTCTCGCCTACGCCTTTTACAGCGTACCGGATCAGTACAGGAATGTCCCAGCAGTGAAGTCCGCCTCGCGCATTTTCGACCAGATCCCCGACGGACAGCTCGTGCGACCGGACAAACCGGAGCCTGCGGTTCTCCGCCTCAGCGCGGTGAAAGGCACTGATGAGACCCGGAGGAACCTCGAGAGGCTGAAGGAGGAGTCCATCAAGAAAAACAAGGTCATCCTCGGCGCCAGGAGGGGCGAAGATATCGCCCCCAGGATCGGGAACACGATCACTACTCTGTGCGCCAAAATCGGGGACATTACCCGATTCCTGGAGATGGGAGTGAGATCCAGAGCAGGGCCTATCCTCCCGACCAGGAGTGATCCTGACCTGATGATTCAGGCCATTGTTCCCGCACCCGAGGAGCTTCTGGACTACTTCGCCGACGAGATCCGTCAGAAGGTGGAGGGTAGGACGGGCGCCTCTTCGCACTACTACAGGAGAGCATGCGCGGAAATACGCGACGCTCTCCGTGGAACAGCTGTGCAGCCTGGAAATGCAGGTGCAGTGAAGGACCCGGAGTTGGAGGCCTCGTCTGCCAGCGGGCAAGGGAACGTTACTTCAGTGATACAACTGAAGAAGTTCCTGAGCCACTACTTCGGGACCAGCGTCGAATCTGAGGATGCCTTTTCTTCGTACCTCCTGTCTTCCTTTCTCGAAGATGGGGTAGGAATGTTCGAGATCATCATCACCGTCATTCGTGACAAGGAGCGTCGGTTGCTGCCTGGTTCCGCCCGCATAGCGGCGGTAAGGTCGCTCGAGATCGGATCCGACACTGATTACCGGGCATTTCGTGAACGATACCAATACATGCTCTACGAGAGCCCTGTGTGTCTTCCTATCACCTCCAAGGTGGTTCCCAAGACACTCTACAAGGTGGTGCCCCTCCGAATGTATCGGCTCTACGTAGAACGTGGGGCGATCATTCGGGGTGGGCGGGCTCTGATCGAGCTCCTTCCCTCTCGGCCGGATGAATATCAATCCCTCCGCGATCACGGAGAATGCCCCAACGACACTGTCGACCGCATCACCGACAGCAATGTGACGGAGCTGCACACCTCGGGTCGACGCCAAAGGAGCGATCCCCGATATGTGGTCATGGCTATCGATGCACGTTTCTTCTCCATGGAAAATGGGGGCATGCACATTACTCGCCAGGGTACCTTTGCATCGCGCGAGAACATCGCGATCGGGTACTGGAGATGCGTCTACTTCAAGGAGGACTGCTCCATCGTTTACCTGAGGCCTTGGTGCTATCCGCCCAACTTCCTCAACTTCGTGAGTGATAACCCGAGGAAGTGTCGGGACGAGATGGAGAAGTATCATCAGATCACCAAGACGGAACATATCCGCGAGGTGGTGTCCGTTCCATGCCATAGGTGCATGACGGCCCACCCGGTCGGCGCTCACCTGTGCACCGCCTGCTACCTTCCCATCTTCTATGAGGGCGTCCTGCCCACCGGAGACACAAACGGCGGCCCTCGCACGATAGCGAGCACCGACGGGGTGATTCCTCCCTGGCTGGCAAAATACGAGGGCTTCGTCCCCGCTCTGTGGAACAACGCAGACGCCAACGCCATCGGAATGGCCCTCTACTCGCAGAGTCCCGCCGTCGATGCCCGGTCCTTGTTGATGTCTGGGATGCGGCCTCCTAAGTACCTTGACAAAGAGGACGTGGATGGCATTTTCCGAAAACTTCACGACTCGCTCCGAGACGAAGTCCTTGACGGCAAATACCGTGACACGGTCGACCACAACGTAGAAGAGTGGGTAGCAAAGGCGATCTTGGTAAGGGGTCTTGCCTTCAACGGGAGCTCCGTCCCCGAATTCTTCGAAGAATACGAGGGATATGCGGCTGAGTGGGGCAGACGCCTAACCACCGCAAACTTCAACGCCAACCGGTGCGGCTTTTACACGTCCTACTACATTCTTGAGGCCCATATCATTGGGCTGAGAACAGGACACCTTTCTCCGATACTCCCCAACGACGTGTCCGGGGAGGGGTTCAAGTTCCAGGTGGGGCTGCTCGCACAGCACTGCGGGATATTGCAGGCCATGCGGAGAAAGGCCGGGTTCGATCCTGCCGCGCGCCTCAAACGGGCTATGGACACGATACGGGAAGGCATTAGGAAGGGGTACGTCTACACCCTCAATGACCTCAGCAGTATGGACGATCTGATCTACCGGACGTCCACTGTTGCCTACGACACCTGCTTGGCCGACCGCCCTCAAACCCAGGATGACATCAAACAGGAGCTGTCCGACCCTGTGCCAAGGAAATACCGCTTCCGACCCCGCGATCGCCATCGACCCGGAATTCGCCTTACACCAGGCCCCGGCGTGAAGGACGAAGACGAGCCCGACTTTGCTGGATCAGCGGAGGATGAGCTGGGATCGGATGGTTCGTCGCACGGAGATGACGAGAAGCCTGACGACCTTGACGAGCCCATGGGCGACGACGAGGAGGAGATCCCTCCCCCTCCGCCACCGCCCCCGGCTCCTCCTGCGCCGCCTGTCCCGGTAGAACCGGAGACTCCCGTGGTGTCGCATGCAGGCGTCAGTTCTGGCGATGCTGTACCAACTCCTCCTCCTCCTCCTCCCGCTCCCATTGCGGCAGGCGTTACAACGACTGGGGATCCGTTTGAGGAAGAGGACATGGCCATCAATACTCGTGTCCCTGACACCGAGTCCGAGCTGGAGGGTGAGTCCGACCAACCCAAGGCCAGGAGGACATCTCATGGTCGGGTCCCCGCGCCCGAAAAAGGGCAGGGGGGCGTTCAGGTCCCGCCTGGCGGGCAACCCAGCTCTAAGAGCATGGCCCAGCCTGCCCGTCCATCCCCGGTCCCCGCGAGAAGCGGTGTGGAAGGTGGGGAGAGAAGGGGCAGGACCAAGGGTTTCTACACCCAGAAGGATCCTTTTACCGGCGAGGACGCGACTCCCCGAGTTCGTCTTCGATCGGGCGGTCCCGGAACTCCTGCGTCCCCACCACGGGATGCCACCGGTTCCTTGGGCGGCCACGGCGGCTATGATCCGCGCGATGACGACAACGACGAGTGGGAGCTTCCCCCGGGTGTGCCTCGGACCACTCGTGCGGCAAATGAGTCGCGGCCCCGCCGAGATGACGATCGGTCGAGGACCGCGCTTGGGGCCCGCGAGGATCGTCGCGGTCCTAAGGGTGAGGGGAAGGGTCGAGGAAAACATCGACCTGGCAAAGGTGGACGCGAGGATCCTGGCCCGCCCCGACAAAGGGATGATCGTGGCAGGGATACCCGCGGAGGCCGACGCGATGATCGCCGACCTCATCCACGTCATGAGGAGACCTCCGAGAGGCGCGGTCCGGGGCGAGATGAGCGCCGCGGACGTGATGACCCGGGTGATGACCGTCGCGATCGCCACCGGGACCGGCGCAGGGATGACCGACGTCACCAATCAGATCCCCCTCCGCCTCGCCGACCTCCGGCTGGTGACCACAATAGGGGTGGTGGTGAGGATCGCCGTCGGGATGGAGGAGGTGATCGAGGTGACCGTGGTGGACGCCGGAGAGACGACGTGCCCAGGGACCGGGAAGAACCTGGTTCAGGGTGGTAGGCGGGTACCGCAATCAGCATCCGCCTTAGAAGGGCGAGGATAGTACGTGTGTCGCCGAAAAACGCGACCGCGCCGGTCCTCCTCTCGCCTATGCGGCGCTGCTGGGGGTGATGGTCTCCATTGCCCTGTACCGCTGATCCGGCGTTGCTCGTGTCCCTCCCGCACCGCTGCCGTGCGCGCCGGAGACGGTTCCCCTGGCGATCCTGTGTGAGGCTGAGACCGCACTAGAAGTGCCGGGCCGGCCGTAGCCGGATATTTTCACACCAATTTCGGAACTTCCGTTTCTAATTTCCTCCCAACTCGACTACTCTTCCAACCACTCCACGGCGTGCAGTGAGGCGCGGTGATCCAGATAGGGTCCCCCTCCGCATGGTGTCGTCCTATGACAACGCATGAACGGCACGAGAGGAATCTTCGTCTGGTTCCTCCAATATGTCTTTGTTCACTCATGTGGTCCACTCGTCAAATAATCCTGTCGCCCCGATAATTCGGGGTGGTGGCGGGATTTTAACTGGGGCCCAGGTGATGCCGTTTGGCTCACCTCTGAGTTGACGCCGGCATTTTTGGTTGGTCCCTTTCGTCGTGAACTCAACTGTCTCGCATCCTTTCTCTCGTCCAGATATCGGATGAGGGGGGTGTGTTTCGTTCACGTGTTGTTTCATCATGTGGCAAAACGGCCGAATGGCCGTTTGGCTCAAGTTTAAACCTCCCGTCAGGGGTCTCTCGGATTTGCGTGCATCCGCCATAGCACGGCGGCCTGCGTCATCATCGGGAAAAGGTCCTGGTGCTGCCGCGGCCGGTGTTAGGTGGTGGGTGGCTGGTCGTCGAGGACTTCCTGGGCCTGGTTCTGAACTTCACTTTCTGTTGTAACCTGTTTTCCAACCCTCCCAAACTTGATCTTCTTCAACTGTCACTCCCACAACCTGGTCATCAGCAACTTCACCATTGTGCGTTGGGACTGGGTTCTTTTGGTACTTCGTGGATCACGTGTACCTCTTTGATTCCCTGGGCTACTTCGTGTTCGCCCAAAACCGCAATCCCCAACCCCTTGAGACGGCCCCGTTTTATATACCATGGTTTCCTTGGTGGGCAAATGGAAATAGTGTATGTATAACAAACACACCAAATCCTACACACCAAATCCTTATGTCCTTTCACGGGGATGGACAAGTTCATGTGTACTTTACCAGTCAGGGTGGCTCTTGGCCAGGTATTGGCCGCAGCCCTCGGCTGCAATGCCGCCTCGGCGTGCCAAAGGTGGGGAGGGCTTGCGGCTTACGTTTTGACCAGGCAACAGGACAGGCAAGGTCCCGCGTAGAGAACCAGGCCCAGTAAGAAGATTCAGACCCAGTGCAAAGGGTACTTGCAGACCCAGGCCACAGAGAAACAGAAACCACCGGTGCTTTAACGCTCAACTTTTTTTTACCTTTTGAGTCACTCCGTTGTACATATCGTTTGGGAATCTTGCTTCTGCTGTAAGCCTGGGATAAGCCGATAAGCCCTGAACGCATGCCAAACTTGTCCACCCAACAAGGATTTGTGCAAAAGGACGCCCCTGATGCCGCTGACAGGGGGTATTTCTCCCCCCCCTGCTCCATTTTACGGGTTCCTTCCTCGAATGATGCAATTTTTCGGAGTATGTTTGTTCAAGTTCAAGTTTGGTGGCCCACCACAAGAGGGCTTCAAGCAAAACCACCCCCAAGAGCAAGTAAGTCACAACACCTCAAACGTTCACTTCCAGAGCTTCAGGAAATTGGACCCCTGACTTGTGGAAAGTCCATGGCACCCTCCTCCCACCCCACCCACCCCCCCACCCAGCCCCCCCCCCCCACACCCCACCTGGCGCTTGCAGGAGAGCCACCTGGCCAAGCTGCGAAGGGATCACCGCTGGAGTTTCGAGGAGCCTCAAACGACAGGGAGATGTTGTGAGTGCCGGGTTCAAAGAGTAGAACTTGTTCGGGGCAGCCAGGTTTGTTGACCACCAACGAGCCCAAAGGGGCAGCTAAAGGGCCGCTCTTGCCTTTTCCACAGGAAGCCAAAAGGGGATGGACATACAAACACAAGGTTCCAACGCGTGCTCGGGAGCCAAATTCGTCAAAACTCCCAAAAGGAAGCCCAAACGAAATGCTGCTTGCACTAAAAGGCAGCCGAAAGGAGATGGGAAAGAAATTCTTTTTCCAGAAGCAAACCAAAATGGGGATAGATCAGCTTTTCGAAAATTTAACAGGCCCTCCCTGTCTGACACCTGGGATACGCACAAAGTCAGCAGTGAAGACGAGGGCTCAATGATGGGCTTTTGCAACTCCTTGAATATGTACTTCTTGGCCAAGATGTGCAAGTTTTTCCAGGATCTGACTATGTACTTGTGCAGCTCCTTTTGCAACGTAGCATCCGATTCAGCATCAAGCGCGTGATGCAAGTCCAAGCCCATTGTGTGTTTTTGTTCGGCTTCCCAAAGCATCAAGGGTAGAGTCATACCCGCTTTTGGCACTTCCCCCCCAAGCATGCTCCATCATATATGTAAAAAAAAAACATGCTAGAACTTGCCAATATTATGTTATGCCCCTGTACTACACTAATATTACATATGCAATGTACATCATTGGTATTGTTTGAATAGTGTATGTATATCCTACAGACATGTTAGTTCTCATTGGTGGAGGCTAGCGTCCTCTATGCGAGCATCGCTGGAATGTGTTAGGCACGCGGAGTCTTTGTCTTTAGAAGTCGCAACTGCTCAGGAAGGATGGTGATAAATGGGGAGGGATGAAGGTTGAACGATTCCTCCTTTAGCATTTTTCTCACAGTTGCCATGGATCAGGGGGAACTTGTCATAGTCTGACTTCATTTGTGGTCCAGATTAGATGCCAAAGGGTTGAACCCCTGGAAACTGTGCGCCAACCACTGTGGGGGACTGGACTCAAGACCAGCCCTCAGCATCATGTTATGCTCCGTCATAGACGCAAATAGCATGCACATATCTGACCAGTCTGATCTATTCCAATCAAGTCTAATCCGATCCCATGTAATGAATCCAGTCAAATCTCAGCTCTTTATCCATCTAACTATTCCATACCTCCCTCCACGTACCATCCCGCAACTGTCACTTGGCAGTCCCCCGTCCCTAGGAGTTGCTGAGCCGCAGCCGCGCCGCAGGTGGGCCTCAGACCATGGTACTCATCGACGGGCCCTTGTACGCCTCCAACGTGGGCTGCGTGCTGCGCCAGGCGGTGTAGATGGACGAATTCCGTTCGCACCACTTTGAAACCATGATTGAAACCATTGTGCGTTGGCATTTTCAAGGGAATCATCAGGGTTTCTTAGGTGGTGCAGGATTTCATCCATCCACAGTATCTTTGTTGGCTCCCCCGCACATTGGCCATGGTCACCCCCCAGTGAACATCCCAATCCCCACTAAGATAGGTTCTAAAATGGGTGGGGAATTCACCTACCCCACAATGGTACCATTGGTTTTGACCCACAGCCAGTTGCTGAATTTGAAACCCAAAACGGGAGATTGATTTGAACAGGTACGTGACAGGTTCCGTCGGTTCCATGCCGGTTTCCGGGAAGCCAAAGCTAGTAGTCTTTGTTTGTCGGGTTCATCAACCGGATTTCAACATGCGCAACAGCTTCCTATGGGAAGGACATGTTTTGCGCCCTTTGCTTTTAGAATCGTGGCACCGGGGTCTAGATCAACCCTTGGATCTTCCTGAAGCTGGCTTCTATTCTTTGGCTTTTTGCTTCTACCAGGGAACCTGTAGCCCTTGTTTTTGCCGGTGCCTTTTAGGAAATTCAAGGGCTTGGAGCAGAAAGCCATGTTCCGGGAGCAGCTCACGGGCCCAAACGAGCAGCTCACGGGCCCAAAGGGCTCGCGGAAGGCTGCGGTGCTGCAGCCGCCGGGCGCGGAGGACGCCCTGTCGGCGCTGCTGCTGGCAGCATCTGAGCCGTCGCGGCTCACACACACCGCGCCTCGGGCCTCGAGCGTGGGTGGAAGGTAGCGGGGGAGGGTGGGGTGGGGTGGGGGTAGGGGGGAGGGCGGGGGTTCCGGGGGCGGAGGGGGCGCCTTGGTACGTGGCTTGCGGGGGAAGCCTTTGTGGGCCTTTCGTCCTTGAGGATCTCCAGCTGTTGTCCTTGCGGAGGGGTTCCTTCAGGAGCCCCAGATCAGCAAAAGGAAAAGGTGGCTTTCATGTCTGGCTTGATCACTTTTTCATCCAGCTGTGTTGTCTTGCTGGCATTTTGAGAGGAGCCAGTGATTGGATTTGTGTACAGGGCCTTAGTTTGGTCAAACGAGGCAGATAGGAAGGATTTCCGTGTAGAGGCAAGCATCCCACAGTGACCCTTGCCAATGCGAGCTATCTGAACATTTTCTGAAGTGAGGCCAGCTAACTAGTACAGGTCTGTTGGGAATCTTTCCACTTGCAAGCCTTGAACAATCCCTTTTGTTCTTGGCATACCTTCCACACTAATTCGTGTGTTCCAAGCAGGCCTCAAGTAGTCATGCCTTCTGTGCTTTTTGGGAAATTTAATCGAAAGCCAAGTAGAAGACGGCCACCATTTTGGGGTTCCCTATCCCAGTTGAAGACAACCCGCATGTTTCTGTTTACCGTGTTCTCAAGTAGGTTTAAGACTTTCACTGAGGCAATAACTGGGAAGTACAAAAAATATACAAAAAACAAACAAAAAACAAAAACAATACAAACCAAAAATACACACTGAAAAACAAAACAAAACAAAAAAACAGCCCGGGGAAAAAAACAAAACAAAAAAACAGAAAACAAACAGACAAAAAACAGAAAACAAACAACACGCATGCACAGAAAAAGGGAAACAGGGATGCCTGGTCTGCCCCTGAAGTGTCACGGGCGGCATTTTGTTGTTTATTTGTTCTTTTTTTGTTCTTTGTTTGTTCTTTTTTTGTTCTTTTTTTGTTTTTTTCCTCGTGTTTTTGCACATTTTGGATGCCTGGTCTGCCCCTGAAGTGTCCCGGGCTGCATTTTGTTCTTTTTTTGTTCTTTGTTTGTTCTTTTTTTGTTTTCTTCCTCGTGTTTTTGCACATTTTGGATGCCTGGTCTGCCCCTGAAGTGTCCCGGGCTGCATTTTGTTATTTTGTTCTTTGTTTTTTTTTTTGTTCTTTTTTTGTTTTTTTCCTCGTGTTTTTGCACATTTTGGATGCCTGGTCTGCCCCTGAAGTGTCCCGGGCTGCATTTTGTTGTTTATTTGTTTTTTTTGTTCTTTTGTTGTTTTTTGTTTGTTCTTTTTTGTTTTTTTCCCCGTGTTTTTGCACATTTTGGATGCCTGGTCTGCCCCTGAAGTGTCCCGGGCTGCATTTTGTTCTTTGTTTGTTCTTTTTTTGTTTTCTTCCTCGTGTTTTTACACATTTTGGATGCCTGGTCTGCCCCTGAAGTGTCCCGGGCTGCATTTTGTTGTTTATTTGTTCTTTTTTTGTTCTTTGTTTATTCTTTTTTTGTTCTTTTTTTGTTTTTTTCCTCGTGTTTTTGCACATTTTGGATGCCTGGTCTGCCCCTGAAGTGTCCCGGGCTGCATTTTGTTGTTTATTTGTTCTTTTTTTGTTCTTTTTTTGTTTTTTTCCTCGTGTTTTTACACATTTTGCATGCTTGGTCTGCCCCTGAAGTGTCCCGGGCTGCATTTTGTTCTTTGTTTGTTCTTTTTTTGTTTTTTTCCTCGTGTTTTTGCACATTTTGGATGCCTGGTCTGCCCCTGAAGTGTCCCGGGCTGCATTTTGTTCTTTTTTTGTTTTTTTGTTCTTTTTTTGTTTTTTTCCTCGTGTTTTTGCACATTTTGGATGCCTGGTCTGCCCCTGAAGTGTCCCGGGCTGCATTTTGTTCTTTTTTTGTTCTTTTTTTGTTCTTTGTTTATTCTTTTTTTGTTCTTTTTTTGTTCTTTTCCTCGGGTTTTTTTTTGACATTTTGCATGCTTGGTCTGCCCCTGAAGTGTCCCGGGCTGCATTTTGTTTTTTATTTGTTTTTTGTTTGTTCTTTTTGTTTTTTTCCCCGTGTTTTTGCACATTTTGGATACCTGGTCTGCCCCTGAAGGGTTTCTGGCTGCAGTTTTTTGTTTTTTAGTTGTTCTTTTTTGTTTTTTTGTGTTGTTTTTTGTTTGTTTCCGCGTCTGTATTTTTATCTTTTTGCTGATTTTCAGTGATTGCCTATCTCTGAGGGTCATAAAAGTAGGTGGCAGACCCCACACTTTCATGAGTGGCTGTGTGTCAAAATGGGAGACCCCAAGCACACTAAGTTTCCATAGCTCCCTGTAAACCCCAACAAGTTTTCCTTTGAACCCCACTCAGCAACAAGAACTCTCCATAGTTTTCCTCTGAACCCCAACAAGTTTTCCTCCAAACCCCGAAAAAGGGTCCCCTCAAAACCGCCCAGCCCCGAAGTGGGCAGGCAGTCTTCCCCTCGGAGCGGTTCCTGAAGAACGCGGTGCGGATCTCCCTGGCGGAGAGGTGCGGAGGTCGCAGCGACGCAAGTGATTCCAACTAGGTCCCCCAGGAGCCCTTGAAACCCCTTTTCTGGGCTGTTCAAAGGCAAGATCTTTACCTGGGGTTAAACGGTTACGCAAGGGGGCCGGCCCCTTTGTAGTGGCTTTCCTATAGGGATTATGGAGTAGGATTGGCCAACCCTCCATTTTGAACAGCCCAGCTCTTTTTGGGGGAGGGTCCGGGAGGGTTCCCCTACCAAAATAGACTACAGAAGAAAAGTTGGTAATTACTACTTCTCTACCCTTTTTCGGGGGAGCTGGGATCAACAAACCGCCCACAAGTTGCGTTAAAGCAACTGGAAACCAACTAGGTCCCCCAGCTAGGTGCCAACTCTTACCATTTCCTTTTTGGGGGAGGGTTCCCCTGCTGAAATAGCCTACAGAAAACAAATAGGGTACCAACTTATTCTGAGCTCTCAAAGCTGGAGGACCTACCCAAGTCTACAAGGCCGTTGTGGGGGACGTGGGTGGTGGTACACTCCTGCAGATAGGCGAGCCAATAAAGCCACCGCGCCAGACAGCTCCTCCCGCAGCGGACGCGCATGGTCACGCTGCCGGAGCCGGAGCAGGCGACGATGGCCCTGGAGGCCTTGCGACGGGAAGGCGCGAGAGGGAGAGGCAATCCTAGAGGATTCCATGTGTTCCTTTGGTTTGGTGCGTCGGTGGGTTTGTTTGGAGCCCACTTTGTTTGTTGTATTTTGTTTAAAACTCGCCCCGGCTCGGGGCTCAACCCCGGCTTGTAAAAATACAACACCTCAACCAGTTTGTTTCTCAGTTTTCTCACTGCAAAGTCCAATTTGGTTAGAGGTCTGAGGAATTGAACATGTACACGCCGGGGCTCGCCAGAAGTTGTGCATTTGCTGGATGACCACGTGAGAATGTTACCTTGACCTCAAAACGGGGGGGGTTGAGAGCATGTGACCTGGCTGATGACGACGCGTCCTTTGCCTTCCTTCAGGTTGAACCCGAATCCAACATACAGGTCAATCGAAAGAGGGGCTCGTTCGTGCACCAAGCAGGTGAGGACATCCGATCGTGTGCTGGATATCTTATCAAAGCTTTTCAAATCGGACGCTGGTTGATTTATGTACGGCAGTGGTCCACGTTATTCAATGGGGGGGTGCTTTCATACATTTGCCGTGGTTTTCTTCGGTTGCTAACTAAAACGGAGTGCAAGACATGCCCAGCAATACCCCGCCACATATTTTTCCCTCGCTTGATTCCACCGATTTGGAGACTCCAACCTGGGGGATAGGGGAGGTGTTTTTGGTTAGGGTCTATGGCATAGAGTCTATGGCCTGATCCTCGGGTTTGCCAGGCTTTGTTCTGGTGGCCCTCGAGAACCTCGAGGCTCGCTGGGGCCGCGGTTGATCCGATTTTCCCGCACGCCCCTCGCTGGTTTCTCAGAGCTTCCTTCGAGGCGATGATCCGATGGCGCCCAGTCGACAAGCACGGCGACTTGTTGACCAGGTTTTGCAGATAGGTGCCCTTTTAAACCCCTTTTTTGGGGGAGGGTTCCCCTACTAAAATAGACTACAGCAAAAAAAAAAAAAGGTACCCTTATTCTGACCTCTCTACTGAAGGACCTAGTTCAAGAAGAAAGTAGAGGGGCTGTTGCACGCTGGATGCGAGCAGGGTCTAATGCTGCTGCATTGCTCTGAAGCTGCAATAGGCATTTGTGGTGCTGTGAGGGTTTGCTAGTGGGTGGGGGAGGGCCCATTTGTTTCCGTGTTATTTTCTATGTAAAGCAGGTCCATGCGAGCACTTTGCACTTTGGAGTACTAGAGGTTTGGGGCTAATATGTTCACGTTCAGTCCCATTCTTCCTAGTCGCTGCAAACTTCAGTAAACGGCCTGAGGTTCTAAGTGCATTCCAAGAATTCACTTATTGAAGCTAAAGCAAAGCTTTCTCACCTTTGAGTTTCGTATGTTGGCTTTTCATGTCAATGTGTAAGGTCGAAGACTTCGTGAAGGCAAACCTGTTTTCTATTTGGGTTTTTGGTTGCAAGTGCGTGTTCTGCACATTCACAGGGAACCACAACCAGCCTTTGTTGGAGGCCTGCGACGGCGAGTCAGAGCCTTTGGCGCTTTGGGCGGCTCCGCTCAGCGCGGAGCGGGTCCTCTTCGTGGCTGGGGGCGAGAACCACTCCTTGCGTCCCGAGCTCTTGGCGCTCTGCGCGGCTCGGAGCTTTGAGCTGGGGGCTGGGAGCTGGCGCGAGCCCGGCTTTGGAATGGGAAAGACACTTGAGTGCTGTTGGGTAGCGGATCTTTAGACTTTAACTTTTGGGTTGAAATCAAGTGGTTTCCACTAAACCCACAAAAAGTTAAACTTTTTGCAGAGGGGTCAACAGACACCAAGGACAGATAGGTTCGATGAGAGTCCTTGTAAGCTTGCTGGTGCGATAGGTAGGGAATGAGAAATGGAATGACCACATAAACCATCCTTGTGGTTTCCTTGAAGGGAACCATTGGGTTCATTCCTTCATTCCCTACTAAGCACCAGTACATAAGATGGATTTTTGAATCTTTCGTTGCAGGCGAGTGGGGTTGTTGATTTCTTCCCCACTGCTGGGCGCGGCTGTTCGGTAGCTGGCTTTCCAGGGATGGGTCGTCCAAATTGGAGTGGTTCCCTGTGTTTGAAGTTGATGCCCGCTATGCCGTGTTGTGTGTCACTCAAAAGTTCAAGACAAGCCCTGCTTGCGAGCTTTCAGGGATGGGTTTACATTTTGCCGCAGCTTCGGCAAAGCAGTCAAAAAGCAACCCCCGACCAGATGCACACACATAGTACCAAGCCTTGATCGATCATAGTTTGTGCGTACGTGTTTGTAGCAGTTTTTCAGCGTCGCTGCAGCTTCACAGGGACAATTTGGTTGTTTAATATATCTCACCCTCAACTCAGTTGTTCCGTGGCCCCCTTTTTTCCCCTTTGTTTGGTGGCTGCCCCACTAAAAATGGTCCAAGTCCCAAAAAGGGTTCCCTTCTTTTTACTGTCACTGAACAACTGAGATCAACTGAGTCAACATGCCACAGCCGGAGCTGAGGATGTCCAGTGCTTCATCCCATCTGCAAGCTGCCCACTGACACCTGGCACGGGGTGGGATGGTGATGAGACGCACAATCCCAGCCTCAACCTGGCGCATGCGGCCGCTTGATTACGGCTGCTTGAGGATCCGGACGATTCGGATGGGGTACACTACAAAATATCATGGCACCCCCAAAAAAGCATCACTTTCAGAGAGAGAGAGAGAGAGAGAGAGAGAGAGTGGATTTTCGGGGACCATGTTTAGGGTTCCACGTCAATCTGAAGCATTGTCTTAGTTGTGGTTTCAGTCCTCAATCCGCTCCTTGGGTTGGATAGCTTTGGACCGTCTATTTTCAACTTGGGATAAGTCAGGAGCACCATCCATATCATAGGACCCCGACAAAATGAATCGATCCCCCATTAGAAGCGGAAGTGTTTGTCGTCTGAATTTGACAGTATTCAAAATATGTTTGTTCAGTGCAGGTTCGCAGGTTCGCAGGTTCCCCACTAAACCTGGTCAGCCTGGCCAGCCTCGCGGGCGAGGTCGTCATCGCACTCTACGAGCGCCGCCGGCAACTCTGCAGCTGAGCGTGGCCCATGACGTCCAGGATCTGAGCGAGCTCACCCGCGCGTTTGCGCCGGGCTCGCCCCCCGATTGTACACGAGCTCACCCGAAGCTCAACGAAGCTTCGGAATTCCTCAGTTCAGGTTGATGGTAGATAGGAATTGGCGCAGAAGAGGCATCTCCGGCAAACCTGGTCGCTGGTTGCGGCGCCTGCCATCGATTTAGCGGGAAAAGGGGCGAGTTGTTTGGAAGCTGCTGGCAATGCTTTCCTGAAAGGATTTGCCTTGGCCTTTGCCTTTGCTTTGTTTTGAATGATCCCGAAGTTGCTCGCACTGAGGGGGCGCCTGGCAAAGAATTGGTTCGACCTGTCCTTGGAGCTTGACGGCAACTTGGCTGTTTGGGCTGTGGAATGCGCTCATAGACATGAGTCAATGAGAAGGGCAGGTGCTTGGTAGGGTTTTTGGATGGAATGCAACTGGCCCAGCCCACGATCCGAAATACGAGTGTCTGTGAAGCTTCCCCCGATGTCTACCAAGGCATTGCTGAAGGGAGTCGCCGCAATAAGGCGCACCCATCCGGCAGCATCCACCAAGCATGGATGGAAAGCGTTGTGGTTTCCCATGTTGTTTGTGTGAGGAAATGCCCTTTGCTTGAGTTTCACATGTTGCTTCCGCACAACTTCGCATGCTACCTCATTTGCTTGCCAGGAGCCCTGGCTGGGATTTCTAGAAGAAATGCTGGTTGCGGGGTATGTCTTTTGACCAAATTAAGTCATGATCATAGGCGCATAATTTGTTTGCCTCTTGCATCAACTGTAACGACAAGATTCACAACCTCCAGGCTGCAATCTTTTGTTTGCTTCGTTGAGCCTCATGCAGAGTCTTACACCTGGCATCCATCCAGCTTGGCTTGACATAGTGGAAGACAGGTGAACCCCGGATGAAGAACGCCTCCTGGTTGATCCATGGGTGCATTCTATTGTTCAAAGGGGACTCCAAACGTTAGGAAACACATTTGTATAAGTTTGCCATACGTTGTGCTGTATCCAGTCGAGGGTCATCGCTGTCAAGTTGGCCCACACATAGATATAGGTCCACCTGATTGATGAAACATGAATCACCCATGTGGGCACCTGCTGCCACAGTGGTTTTCTCACCATGCACCTGGCTGAATTCCCAACAGATGGGTTCCCCTGAGCCGCAGGTATAAGGGGATTGGTTTTCTGATTTGCCACGCCTTGCCCCATGTTCTCGAATTCTCGGTGCTGCGGAGGATTGTGAAAAATGTGCCAATGTGTCATGCCTTAATTTTTGGCACGCCGGGTAAGCGTGGGCTTCAAATGTAGCCGCTTGGCCGGTTGAACCGGCCATTGGCTGCCTTTCCTCCAACATGGACCAACATGGCCATCGTTGAGACAAAGTCGGGCTTTTGCAGGACTGGCTGCTGGAAGCTGTACCGGCAGCCCGGCCCTTGTGAATGATCGGCACAATGCGACTGCGTGAGTTGGTGGGTGATGGGTCTGTTTCGGCCCTCAAAACCCGGGAAAGTAAAGGGTATAGTGTGACTTTGCGCCCTTTAGATCGGTGCCGTGTGGTGGGTTAGCGCCTTTGGTATCAGGTTTGATTACGTTCGAGCCCCTTTGTGGGCAAAATTTGTCAGGTGACAAGTGGGAATAGGTCAAACAGCTGACGGAAATGGTTTCTCAGACGATGTGCTGCCTGATTTCAGAGCAAGGCCGAGGCCGGGACTGTATGTGTTTTTGTTGTTTGATTTATTATTTCGGATTGTAGAAACCGACAGGGCCTTTTCATGAGGAACATGGTCTCCTGCAACCCCCAGGTCAATGTCAGTTGGAAAGAGGCGGGGCGTCCTGCTTGCAACGTGCAACTCGAGGTGTTCGTGCACGCCATCTTCCGAATGCTCGCCCCGCTGCCCGGTTTAGACGCAATGAGCTGCCACGCATTCAGGTGCCAAATCTCAAGCTTCCCTGACCCGACCTGGTGGGTACCTGGAAGATTAGTTTCCTTTTGAAGGGAACCCAATGTCAGGTGCCACGTTGGAAGGGACGCTGGCTCCTTTTCTGTCTAGTGTTCAGGGCTTTCTCTACCAGGGTCCCTAAATTTCCGCCTTTGCGTTTCCAAGAGTTTTTTTGGGAGGTATTTTATTGGACAAATCCTAAAATATATATTTGCACCCATTCCCTTCTGGGGTGATGTCCAAGCAAGAACAGTCCCAGGAGCCCTGGTTAAGCTTGAGCTTTCTTTTCTTTCGCTTTCCTTAAAGGAGACAAGGGATGGTTTATAGTTTATAGGAGTCATTCCATTTCTCATTCCCTGCATGTCTCGCAAAAGCAAGTGGCCCGGTCTGAGCCTTTCTTTTGCGCCAGGTGGAAGCCTTTCCGCCCGAGGCGAGGGCCTTCGCACAGCACAGCCAGGCGCGGCTCCTTCGTTCTCCGTCGGCGGACCGGTTGCGACGGTTTTGGCGGCTGCAGCCTCGTGCTTTTTGCTTTGCGGGCGCGGGTTCCCACTCAAAATGGTCGACATTGGTCGGCCCCAAAACGGGCTCCAATTAAGGGATGTTTTTACCAGAGTCACTGGGCAACTATGTGGCTGACAGCCCGAAATGGTGTTAATTCCTCCCATCCAAGAAACATGTGCATTTTTAGGCTGTGCTATTGGCCAAACGCCAGCAGTGTTAATGTGCAAGATCCCAGACCGCTCGCCATTTATTTTCAAGGTCATGTTCAGGGTCTTGGGGCAGGTGGGATGGTGGTTTGGGGTGTGATTTGAGTTGTTCAGCTAGCTTGGAAGGCCCCCCAAACTCCTCCAAACCAAGCCAAACCTATTCCAAGTTTTAGAAAATGCCGAAATCAGCGGTCCTTGTTTGCCCCTTTCAGTTTCCCGGCTCGTCTCGAAGCTTCCGTTCTGCGGGAAAAAAGGGAAAAGGCCGCTGGGTCCAGAGCCCGGTCCAGAGAGAGGCCTCCACTCTGGTCAACCTCGCGGAACGATCCAATTGCCACTCTAAAAGGTAGCCAGGATAGTCGCCTTTGGAAAAAAATATGACGGTTTCACTGGTGGCTATGCCGGGACAGCTGGATATACCTGGTCATTCATAGACTCATAGCTAATCGCTTCTCTGGCGATTTTGAGCTTTGCCAAATGGTTGACGGTCTACCTGTCACTGGAAGCCGGGTTTTTGTTGTGCACTGTTGGCATGGATTTGGGCAGGAGGTGATTATGAAGCTGACGCAGATCATTCAGCACGAGGCGGGCGGAGACGTGTGTCATGGATATCCTGATGGCCGGCAATTGCCAGTAGCTAGCCTTGTTGAGCCTAAGCTCGGTTGAGAGTCCATCCTGATCCCATTGTTCAAAGCGGTATGCGGTTGTTTTGTTACAAAGGGATCTTTGATCCAATCAGCCTGCATGATGTCGTGTTCGCTTGTTCCCTCCGGAATTCTTCGCAGCATTGGCTATAGTGTTGGAGTCTCCCTGACGAGGGCACACTCTCTTCCACCCTGTGTGGGTGGATAGGTGGGTAGGTGGGGAGGTAGGTGGGTGGTTGGGTGGTTGGGTGGGTGGGTGTGTTCTTCCAGGGGCCTACTGACTTGGATACTTCCACGATGCTTGCGCAAGGCACAGAGGCATTGAGTTGGCCGGCTGAACCGCAAGAGACCAGGGTCTGCCCAAACACCTAGACGCCATCCCCTACTTACTCCCAGCAGAACACATTGCGAAAGACTTCTCAGATTGTTTATTTGTTTATTCGGTTCAAATCAGAGATGGCTCAGGATTTCACTTTTGCAGGCTCCAACACTTTGTTTGCTTTCTGCGACGACCATGGCATGCAATTGCGTTCACAAGCCCATTTGCAACCTTAGGGACATAGCTCGGAGAGTCGCTTGGTACTGCCCAGTTCGGTGAGTTTCATGCTTCTGCCTATTCTATCGCGAGCTCAAAGGTCCTTTACTTGGTGATCCCGTCTTCTTAATTCAGCTTTGCGAACATGCAGATGATTTTTTGGGGAGGCCATTTCCCCAGAAGCAAGATCTTGGTGACTTTCATTTCCCCACCATGAAAATCCATTTTTTGGGTTTCGAAACCCGCAGCACGTGACACGAAATGCCTCACCCGGAGGTCACGGGGCTGCAGTGGCGCCCTGAGACCTGGCGCAAGCTGCAGCGCCGGCTCTTCTGCCCCCAGGTGCCGGGGTTCCCAGCGTTGGATCTCCGGCTGCGCGGCTCCCTAACATGGTTGTTGTTGGGAAACATTGTACATTTTTGCTTATTGTGGTTTAGTGGGAAATCCCCACTTAACTGCTAAAATTTAATTTGTTGCTCCCCTTCGAACGTCAACCAAGCGAACCTCTGATCGGTGGATTCGAGAGATGCAGGGAATGAGACATGACATCCCTATAAACCGTCGAACTCGTGGGCTTGAATCAAGAGGGGACCAAAGCCTGGGTTCATTTTCTAGCGCACCGATCGGAAGTCAACGCCATGTAGCTTTTGTAAAGGAAGAAAGGGGCCCTGAAGGCCTTGAAGCATGGCGAGGTTTGTGGAGCCTGGCTTGGGGTTTCGGGGCCTAGAGAACATGTCCAAGACACAAAGACACACCAATGAGCCTTGGTTCGGCTGTGAACTGGTGGGCCATGCTCGTTTACCCATGCTAAAAACCACGATCCAACTCAGGGGGTAGGCTGCCACCCCATCTTAAAATAACAAAAGGTTTGACGCCAGTGTGACTTTCACAACGCACGATATGTCGCAACACTCGGAGAAATAGAATGTTTCCGATGCCCCGATTGTTTTTTTGTTTTGTTTTTTGTTTGTGTGTGTTTTCCATCTTTTTTTGAGGGGCAAGTGTGCCGCGCGTTTGCGAGCTGGGAGCTGAGGCTAGTTACACCACAGCTGAACCAGCGCGAGTGCTGCTGGCCTTTTGGAGCGACAGGTTGAGGATTACCTGCTTATGGCGAGCTTGCAAAAGAGGGAAATAAAAGCGAGTTCGGACCCTTGAGGATTTTCCCATGTGAGGTGGGCCTTGAATATTGCAGAATAATGTGTGAGGCCAGTCGCAAAAGCAAGCATTTCAACACTTTTCAACCCGTTTGCAACCTGCCACACTTGCTGTTGAGTGTTGGATCCCGAATGATCTCGCCAGCTGTCAGCACTGCGTGGACCTGTAGACCTACCGTCCAAGAAGGGCTGATTGTTAGTGACTCAGACTGTTGGT